TTTAAAGTGAAAAGGTTTTTGTTGTTTTATTGTATTTGCTTGTTTTTTAAATTTTGAGTTTTTAAAAATTATCTTGTTGTTATTACGTGTTTGAAGTATATAATGTTTACTTTCCTTATTTAGAATTGGTCCATGTATGTAACACATCTTAATTTCTTTTCAGTTCCCTTTCCCTCCCTCCCTTCCCCCTGTCTCCATGTGTTGGTCCCTTTCTTATTTGAGAAATATCTATCTACCTACTTCCTATTAGCTATCTTTTATTTTGATCTTTACTTATTCTTTGGGTTTCTCATATAAGAGAAGCCAAGTTTGTGCACCTGATTTATTTCACTTAACCATGTAGTCTCAAAAATGCATTCAGTTTCCTATAAATGATTCAAGCTTATCCTTCTTTATGGCAGAGTAATACTCCATAGTGTGTAAATACCAGGGTCCTACTAAAACTTATTTGATTTAATGTGGACAGAATCTACAGGAAAGAAGAATAAGAGCAGGAAGAAAGTTCTAGAGAAAGGTAGAAGGGATGGAGTTCACAGTGCAAGTACAGGCTGGCCTTCGATAGAGTCTAGGAATATTTCTTCCATTGGTTCAGAAGGGAGCTTACTGTGGGCTGTTTCTACTTTGCATTTTCTGTTTGAAGACTCTGGCTGCTCTGCTGGCCTTCTCAATGCTTATGAGCCAGTTCTCTGCAGCTTCAGTCTCAGCTGAGGTACACATCGCAGGTAAGTCAAATTCTCCAGTGAGTGCCTGCCATGTCCAGAGTGATTCTCAAGCTCCTCTTTTATCTTAGCATTGAGCTGTTCAGAATGGTAGTCGCCGGCCAGGAGCATCTAATAAGTACTCAAAATGTGGTGATCATAACTGAGGAACTGAAATGTAATCCACGAGCACACTGGTGCTCAATTCAGTTGCTGGAAAAAATTTTCTGTGTTCATAAATTATCTTGTAATAAATTTATATTGATTAAATGTTGAAATGATACTAATTTAGATAAAGTACATTATTACATTGATTTTATGGAGTTAATGTTTTCTTTTTTTAAGAGTAGCTTCTACCCAGCTTACATTTACTATGTGGTTCACAGTGTGTTTCTGTTAAGTGGCACTGTCTTAGAGAACAAATGCTCCTGTTACTTATTTACGTGTATTAGTACCTGTTGGCAACACATAATGTTTACATTCCGTGTGTGGAGTTAGTGCGTGTATGCAACACACCTTCATTCTTTGTTTGTTTTCATCCCCATTCCTTTCCCTCCCTTTATCTCTTGGTCCCCTTCCCATTTGAGAAAGATCCAACCCCTTACCTCCTTTATCTGTCTTTTATTTGGCTCTTTATTTATACTTCGGGTTTCTCGTATAAGAAAAACCATGCTCCTGTTTTCTGTGCGTACTTGGCAGTGCTTACTTAGCGTGGCCCACATCTCACACGCTCACCGCTAGGTGCAGAGGCAGTTTGGGAAAAGCGGCCCCAGAGAGTTTATACTGTTTGCTTAGGAGCTGGGAACTGGGCCACCTGCAGACTGTGCCCTAAGCCATGCTCAGCAGCCAGCTCATTCTGTGCATTCTTGCACTGGAGTTATTTTATGTTTATGCTGCTAGCACGAGATATTTACATGGTCACTTAAAGGACGTATTCGGGGTTTTAACTCAAGTACTTGAAATGATAACTTTCAGGGCATGGTTTTAATGTACTGTTACTGACTTTGCTTTGATGAATTGTGGACACACAGTTTACAGCTGGGGCTCTCTTTGCCCTTGAGCTTGAGCACTGACTGACAGCTCTTTCCTGCTTCCTGTTTCTTCCTGGTGGTCACCACGGTTTGCTGTATGTCATGGATCTCCTGACACCAAGTGCTGCTTGAAACTTTTCCCATATTTGACTGATTCTCTTCATTTGTTTTATGATTTTTAAGATTTCAGTAAGGACCCTTAATCCTTAATGAAAGATTCTTAAATAGAAAAGACCTATTTATTTTTAAAGGAATAATGTAAAATTATACAAATATTTATTTCTTTATTTTTCTTGGGATGGAGTCTTGCTGTGTAGGTCAGGCTGGCCTTGAACTCATGTCAGCCCTCCTGCCTCAGCCTCCCCAGTAATGGAGTTATAAGTGTATGCCACCACAGCCAGCTGAGATGAATTTTTCAGGGGTAAAGTTGTAATGTACCCTGGCATTCTTTAGGTGTCTGAAAAGCAGAGTGTCTGAGAGCTGAGCACATTGTCTGTTCCCCCTCCTCTGCCACCCCTTTCTTCCTTCTCTTTTTCCTCCTGCCTCTTTTTCTTATTCTCCTCCTCCTTCCTCTTCTTCCTCTCCTTCACTGTCTTCCCTTTCCTCTTATCTTGTGTAACGTCCTCACCAGACATCCGGGCCCTTATGCAGAAGCCTCACACATCCTCAGCTCCTGATCTTCTGTGTCTCAGCCTGTGCTCCTCAGGTATTTTGAAACTTCTCTCCAAACCTTCCTGTCTCTACCCCTCCACCACCTCAGTCAGACCTTCAGCATTTCCAGCTTCTTTTCTTGCTGTCTTTAGTTGTGATTCCACTTCTTTTGCTGCTTGTCTGATCTTGTTGAGAAAGGCCTTTGTGGCTCTCATCTGCATGCTTTTAGGTCCTAACTGAGGGCTCACACTTGGCCCACAGGAGAGTCACAGGTTGTGTATCTGTTCTGTTCAGAAACTGAAAGTGTTCCGGTTTACTCCCATCTGCTGCCTTTTCTCCTGACTGTGCCAGTAAAGCTTACTCAGCGTCGCTCCTCAGCCGCGTGACGCACGGTTGGCACCCTTGCAGCTCTGGGGCCCTTGCTGACTGCAGGGTCTTACATGATCCCAGGAATCCCGCTAAAATGCCTCCCTGGCTACTCTGACTAACGAGGGACAGATTTCTTTCTTGGACCTTTTCTCCGATAGTAATATGCCCCCAAGGAATAGAATGGGATAGAAATCCCTGGGTTGAGTATCTGATGCTCTATTGCCTGGGGTTCAACTGTAGATAATTTTCATGTAAGTCTATAGGCAGGCATGTGGCACGGTGTTTATGACTCAGAACTTACAATAGGAATCTGAAAGAAAATTTTTAAAAAAAGGAAAAAGAAAGTGAACTGTAAAAGAAACAGAATTTTATATAATCAAATCACAAATTTGTTTAAGCCCACTTAGGAGAATTAGCCAGGTTTCATAAAGGATAGCAAAAGAATCTCACTAACATGAATCATGCCTGGAGCTCCCTGTTACTGGATTACTCCTTTCCTTTGGATGTGTCTCCAGATAGGATATAATTTCAGCGATGGGCTTGCATCGGTCCTGCCTCTGGTGAAAGGGGAACAGTTATTTCTGTCTGCAATGCAGCACAAGATGCCAGTAGCTACTCAGGCAATCTTTATGCATCTGATGAAGAGATACTGGTATTTTTATATGGCAGATAGGATTTCATAGGCGACATAATGGAGAGTTTAGTCAAACAAAACGTTCTTTTCTGCTTTTTCTCCAATGACGAGTGGCAAGTCTCAGAATGGTGGCTCTCTGTGTTACTGAGGCTGTTTAGGAGTGGCCCACACCTCGAGACAGCTGCCCACTCTTCCCGGTCCCCCAGCTGAATAAGAGTATTGTGACAAGTCTAAGAGCTTTGGAAAGATAATTAGACTCTTTGCCAGAGGAAAAGAAGAAACTGCCAAAAATATCATCACTTAGAAGAAGCTCTCTGTGCCTGGATTTTCTCGTGTGAGTCAGTAGCCAAAATGAGCGAACTTCTAGTCTGCCTGTAAAAACAATTTGTTGTTGTTGTTGTTCTCCCCTGAATTCCAACATGGGCTCCGTGTAATTACTGAACAAAGGAGATGTTCATCAACATGGTTAGTCTGAATGTGAGGGCTGAGGAGTTGTTGGTGATTCACACAGTGATTAGTGTGAGTTAGACTGCGTTCTTCAGGATGGGGTGAGTTAGGGCAGCCACTCTGGAGGAGGGTGACTGGTAGTAGGTGCTGTGAGCTGCCCTTCTTTTCGGAGGGTGGATATTTTGGGGATGATGCAGGCAGAGCAGAATCAGTCCAGGGGAAGGGCTTGGGGCAGCTCCACACTGGGACTAGGGATGGGAGGTTAGATTCTAAGAGAGGAAAGACAGATTTCTGCTATTTCAGTGTGGCTAGGAGCCACCTGAATGTTACAGAAGTGGTCATCCATACAATGGGCTATTTATTCCATAGCCTCTGAGAAAGGAAAGGAGATTTGTGGGTAAAAAGAAAACACACACAAGTCTGCACTGTGTGCTCCCATTTCTGCGTATAATTTGAAAGGTGATGTATGCGAGGGTGTAGGTATGTGTTTGAGTCTTTGTGGAGAATATGCTGGAAGAAACATAATAAGCTGTGTGTTAGCTGTCTTGGAGAAAGAGCCTGGGGACCTGTGTCTGAGGTAGGATTTGAGGGAGTTAGTTGAACTTGTCTGCATACTGCCTTTAAATTAAAAAGAGAACTAGTTAGAATGTTTTTGAGGATTACTCTCCCTTCCCAGGAAAGATGGTAGGGGAAGGGGCAGGGGAAGAGAAGAAGGGAGCGGGAGAAGCAGTGAGGATTCAGATAATCTTTTTGTCCTTCTTTCTTCTAACTTACAAAGCTCAGGGCTCTTGCACTCTCAGACCTTCAGGGTTGTTACCTTGGCTGGATTATGGTTAAGCCAGCACTTCTGGGCTGACCTGGATCTGAACCATCATTTATAATCTCTTTATATGGGAGAAACTATACCGTATTCCAGAGCAAACGCATGCAGACTGCCTTACTCACCCTCTCAATTTCATCTATCTCCTTCCTTTTCAAAACTTATTTTTTAAAAAGGGCTGTAAACTTTGAGCCAGGAGATCCTCTCTGTCCTCATTCTGACTCAATTCATCAGAAATCAAATGACTAAAAGACCATTATGCACATGACTGTGCTCCCCCAAGTTACCCTCTGTCACATTTTAAGTTAGAAAGAGACACATCAGTCTTCTAGTCACACAAAAAATCCTAGTTACATTTTTAAAAATTTTATTTAAAGACAAAAGAAAAAACTTTTATTTAAAGAGAAAAGAAAAAAGTGAAAAAGAGTCCAAGTAACACAGAATTTCAAAAAAATAGAAATCACTAGATAATAGATTACACATTGTCATCTTAGAAATAATTGCTCAAGTCTATTTACTTTTAATTAACATAGGTAAATCATTTCCCTACTAGCTGCTATGGAATGTAAGCAATCATTGCAAGCTACCTCAGTATAATCTCTGAAGGGACGGGTAGTTTAAGTGATCTGAAGATCTATTGAAAAGTTTAGAATGTTTTTAGTCTACTAGCAGAGAAATAAGAATGATAGAAAAGGGGAGATTTTAAGTGGTCATGAGCAAATGTCCATTGAGGAAATGTTGGGTGACAACCAGGGTGTTGCTCTGGCCAGGAACCCTCAGTTCTCAGTTTCTATTGCCTCAGATAACCAGACATCAGTCTGCAAAAAGGAATCCAGCTGCCTGTCTGGTCAACATTGTGTTGACTCCATTGGCCACTGGCTTCCATGGGGATTCACCAAACAGATGCTGGGGAAAGCTAGCCTCTGATTTTGAGGGTGGCAGTTGCTATAAGGATAATTAGCTGGCACAGTGACCACTTTGTGTCAAAATTCTATGAGGGATAATTAAAAGACTGAGCAAGATCATTACCTACTTCTTTATCAATTTATAATAAAGGTTTTTAAGTCCATAATTTGAGAGGTTGGAAAGTCTCCTTATTCTAAATAGGTTTAGGTCCCCTATGTGTGCTGCTTTTAAGGATAGCTGCTTCCATTGCCACATGGAAACTGGTTCTCCCCACTGTGTCTCAGGTTTAATTTCCAAAGGAGATTTGCCCAGAACACTGAGCTGGGACACAGCTTTCATGTGTATTCTCCTGAATGGGCACAATTCTGATGTCTCATCTGATTCAGAGATGGGGTATGTGTCCCTCATCTAAGATGACTTCCCTGTTCTTGGCATTAGCAAATGCTCATTTTCTATGGGCTTAACTCAAAAGGAAAAGGTTGGAATAATCTAGAGTTTTTCCCACTTTTATATGCCTTTATTAGGAAAATGTAAAGTGGGAAGAGAGTAAGAGGTAAAGTGAAACAAAGGAAACTGAAGCAGAACAGGCTTGACATTCCTCTGGAGGATAAAGGAGGATCAGAACCAGTCTGTCTCAGTGAAACCTGTCCTTCAAGTCCGGAAGCATGGCCACCAGCCTAGTGCATCTTAAATGGTGGAACGAGTCCCATGTTTTATTGTAGGCATGTAAGTTTTCTAAGTCTGAACTAGATTTCATTTAAGAGAACCATTTAATAGAAATTTATATTGAAGACTGTTGAGGGTGTTCTATTATTATCTGTGGTGCTATTGTCTAAATATAGTTAAGCAAGGAATACCAGTAACTTTAACAACTAATATAACATGTGAAAGAGTAAAATAATAAAAATATGCCATTAAATCTTGTAATCCACAAACAAGCCCCCCAAAGCCTAAACTCAAGTTCAAAAATGGGCAAGACATGTTTTTATTTTCAAAAAGCAGTGCTGATTTATTTTATCCTGGGCCCTGTAACACAGTGCAGTTGGAATTTGCAAAAGCTGTGTGTCCTCCTTAAAGCTTTCTAGTCTCTTGTAGAGAGCAGAGTTTACAAAGTAAAGGGGTTATGGGGGTGGATCAGGAAATCTGCTAAGGAAATGTTTTCCTTAGCAGAGGACAGAGTAGTCTAGCATTAGTTAATTCTTTGTCAGCTGATTTTAGCACCACATCTGTTATTATTAGAGGGCAACAATGGTTAACATATCAATTAGGTTAGGTTCCCGGGATTTACAATTTTTTACAGAAGGGAGGATTGATTAACATATCAGTTAGGTCACCCAGAGGGGGGAAAATGCATACAAAACAGTAGGCGGCATTACAGGTACTTTGGCTTAATACAAACATAACAAAGCTCTTTTAGCTAGTGTACAGCTTTCCCCACTGATTTTAGTCAGTGCACCAAATCATTGGCTCATGGGGTTTTCAGACATAGGTACCTGTTTATAACCTTGCGTCTTTAAAATCATAAGCTGTATAATTTGAACCTTTGACATAGTTTACTAATCTGTGTATAATACAAGGCCCAATAGGAAGATTAACAAAGTTCTTGCAGCTGTCATTATTAAAGCTGTTAACCAAAAGGAGAAAGAAAACCAACATTTAAATTCACTGTTTTGTCACATAATTAACAATTTTTTAAAAGCCAGATAGAGGCCTCCTTGGGGTCTCCATAAGGGAGAACATAAGATTATTAGTTACATTTGGCAATCTTGAGCTTTAAAGAGTCCTTGGAGGGAATGGCAGTCCACTTATCTGTAGGTTGATCGCCTTTGGAAGCCAGGACCTGCTTGAAGTGGGAATGATGCATCGAGGTAGGCTTTCTGGCTACTTTGATAGCAGTTGGAGTGCTGAGGACTACAATGTAGGGACCTTGTCAATGGCTCAAGAGATCCATGGTGAAGCCTGTTGATGAGCACCGGCGACTCAGGCTCTACAGCAGGGTGTTTGTCCTCTCAGTGGGCTGCAGGTGGAGGATGTTGTTGTTAAAATAACCAGTGGATGGAAGTCAGAACTCCCTGAAGAGTTTGGGGAGACTTAATAAGATCTTGATTAGCTAAATCAGCTCATTTTTCCTCAGAAATCTTAGGTATAAGAGGAGTTCTCTCATATAAAGCCTCAAAAGGGGAGATACCAGTAACATAGAGGATACATTGTGCATGCAAGAGGTTAAAAAAGGAAGGAGACTCCCCTGGTTCTCACCAGTTTCTAAGGCCATTAGTAATTACCATCTTTAAGGTCTGGTTTATCTTTTCTACTTGTCTTGAACTTTGAAGGCAGTAAGCACAATGGAGTTTCCAATTGATCTGCAAGGCTTTGGTTAGTTTTTGAGTTATCTGGGCCATAAAAACCAGGCCATTCTCAGACCCGATGGATAAGGGGAGGCCAAATTGTGGGACAACCTCACATAAGAGCTTTTTGACTATCACAGCTGACTCAGATTTTGTAGAAGAAGCTTTTATCCATCCAGTGAAAGTATCAACCATTACAAGTAAATACTCATGTCATTGAAGTCCAGGCTTCCCCATTTCTGTAAAGTCTACCTTCCAGTGTTCTCTAGGCATAGTCCCACTTAGTGAGTGGTTGCTTTGGGTTCACCAAATGGCACTGAGGTCATCTGAGGCTCACAGGCTGGGCAAGCTTTGATATTAGTCCCCAAATGCAAGTCTTTTCAAGTGCAAATAGGCTTTGACAAAGTAGGTGGGAATGCAGTAATGTCAGGGCTATCTCAAATCCCCACTGATTCTACAGCTGCCTTGTGGGTGGTGGCATCTGCCAAATTATTTCCTCATATAACAAGGCCATCTCCTGCTCAATGGGCTCTACAGCGCATAATAGCCACTCTTCCTGGCATCCAGATGGCAGCCAACAAGTCCAAAATTTGGGAAACATTTTTAATCTTTTGGCCCCAGAAGACAATAAGCACCATTCTTGATAAATGGTCCCATGAACATGGGCAGTAACAAATGCATACTGACAACTTGAGGTCTCACTGAGGGCAATGAGTTCAGCCTGTTGGGCCAATGTTTTTGGCTCCAGGCTTGGTTCCCATAGAATCTGCGAGTCTGTAGTAATGGCTGCTCCCACGACCCACTTACCTGGATAAATTTAACTGCTTCCATCGGAGAAATACAAAGGAACTCTGAATAGTGGCTTATCTGTCAAGTCTGGTCCCCAATACAGATGTGGAGGGGCAAGGAGGGGCATCATCAGGCAGCAGAGTAGCAGGGTTTGAAGCCGCTGTCCCCTTGAAACTGATGGTAGTCAGATCTAGAAGTAATGCCTGATAATGCATGACTTGGGAGTTGGGCAGCCATTGGTCTGGTGGAGGCTTGATGAGAGTCTCCAGCGAATAGGAGGAGACAATTAAGAATTTTGGTCCACAAGTCAGTTTTTGTGTCTCCTCTATCAGGATGACTACCGAGGAAAACACCCACAGACAAGGTGGCCATCTGGCTGCCACATAATCAAGTTTCTTGGAAAGATAGGCAACAGGCCTCTGCCAGGGTCCCAAACTCTGCATCAGTCCTATGGCTCCTCGAAATTTTTGCACTCGGTTTTTAGTCACAGGGACTGGAATCTGTTGGATGGCTTGCATCTGCTGGGAGGAAAGAGTCATTTATTTTTATTTTTTTATGGAAAGTCCAACAACCAATGCAGTTTTTCTGCCCAGCAGAAACCTCTTAAGCCTGGTCTTTAGGGTCCTCCCGGTTGTCAAATATCTTTTAAGCAACCTCTGATAACTGATTGAAGGGCATTTCCTCAAATCTCTCAAACTTTTGCAATTTTTGCTTAATATCAGTGGCCGACTGGGTTACAAAGGCAATATTAATGGCCCTTGCATTTTTAGCCACTACTGGTGTATAAATGTGATAGGGCTTTTGCACTCTTTTCAAAAAACCCCGAGGGAGACTAATAAGTCTCTGTTGAGCCAATTGCCTCACCTCTGCTCTCTTGGGCAAATTGGTGGGTTTTCTGGGGTGCCCTAATGGCTACTGAGAAGAACTGGCGATACCGATAAGGAACCTCCTCATCTCTGGTTGTCCAATTGGGGTGGGACAAAAGGAAAACATGGTTTTGGCATTCTGGATCAGAGGCAGGTTTTATCCGGATGGCACACTGCTTTTTTTTTGTCCCAGGGTGGGCCATTGCCCACATGGCAGGTCACTGTTTTACTGAAATTACATACTTAACAAAAAAAAAGGCTTTTTCATAGGTAACAAAAGTAATTTTGCGGCATAGTCTCCCAGATATCCACAGCACATGCAAGAACTTGTATTTTATCTCTATAATCACCAGTCACATTGGGCACAATAGTTTTTTTTAATTTTTATTTATTTATTTTTTAATTCTATTTAAGGAGAAAAGAAAAAAAAGCAGAGAAAGGGTACAAGTTATACAGATTTGCAGAAAAAAAAATGAACAGTAGGAAATCACTAGTTAATGGATTACATATTGTCATCTTAGAAATAATTGTTCAAGTCACAAAATTAAAGCTTGTAAAGTGGACATTCCATCAATGATACTGCAAACAGTTCTGTTCAATGATCCAATAAAACTCTGATATCATTTTCTATCTTATACACTTAAATATACATGCAGTTATATAGTTTAGAGCACTTTCTTTTCCTCTCTTTTGTACAATTTGGGTTTCATTGCTCCCACGGTTCTTATTACTTTTTTGGAAGAGAGTAAAACCAAATGTGACATAACAGAACACAATCGGTCAAGTCAAAAGGGTGGACATAATAGATAGTGTGAAAACATAATACAAGGTGATCAACAATGGTTACCATAATGCCTCCCGCTATCTCTAATAGAATTGCCTATATCGTTAGTTATAATACAATTGAACAAAACAGTAAAGAATAAAACCGACAAAACCAAAACATTGGAGACATTGTAGGTCTTCAAAAGTAGATAAAAGTCAATGAGAATGGGCATTATAATGAGTCTCATTATCTTCACAGCTGATGCCTAAATTTTCGAACCTGATACTATCCAGCAAAACAGAATAGGGGAACATCAGTTAAAACCAGATGGTGAGAGTAATACAGGGCTTTAAATCGAGGTAATGAAAAGTCAAAGTGGGTTACTATAATATATCCTGTTATTTTTTCCTTTAATTAAAAGGATAAAAATAAAAAAGTAAATAATGGCAAATGTGTATAGCACTTAGGAAAATCAAAATGGAAATTAATGCTCTTAATTTCATGCCATTGCTATTGAAGCAACAGCAATACAAAATATACAAGACGGGTCACATGACTGAGGGTAGACTTGAAAAGTTTTGTTTGTGCTATTATACAAGACCCAGGAAAAAGCACAAAAAGGCAAAGGTCATTGGCGGACGTAAACATCCCTATTTGGATTTATGATGGCTCTGCAGTTAGTTGCACTCATTGTGGTCCTGCTCTCGATCTATGTCCCTGGAGCAGTGTCGAGATTCTCTGTGTCTGTGGTCACTGCTCCCATGGGTCTCATCTCGGTGGTTGTGATCACAATGTGGGGCATAGTGGTCCATGTGTTCACGGGAATAATCTTTTGGCTGCAAGTAGGCAGAGTCTCCACTCTCCTGAGTTTCAGAGTCAAATGTCTCTTGCCTGGAGAGGCCTTGACTCATACTGCTGCGATGCTTGTGATGTGGGGCTGAGGAGGAGGAATGGAGGTGGGATTTTGACAGGTTCCAAGCAAGATTCTTCTTCAGGTTGGGAAGCTGACCAATCAGGAGTGGAGCAATCAGTCACCTGATCACCTGGAGAACCCTGGTAACAAAAGGAACATAACTGGGCTGACCTTGGGCTTAACCAAGGTCAGAGTATAAAGAACTAAGTGGTCATCATGCAAAGACATTCAAGTGTAGTCCTTTGAAAGGATCTAAAATGCTGAAATGAAGTCTAGTGTAGCTCAGTTGCTTAATTCCTTTAATATCCAGTGTCATCAGTACGGTTTGTATTGTGTTATATTGGGCTTTATTAAGTGCCTGAAACAGTACACATAGTAATCAGTTTATTTTATTATTAAGAATAAGTGAAGAAGGGTTACTGCTCTATTACATATTCTTTTGTTGAAATACACATGCAAGAGATTTTTCTATACGTGAACATAAACTTTCCTACCTCTGCTTGAACATAGATTAACAAGAACCACAATTAAAATAAAATACATGTGTGACACTTGATGGAACATCACTCCTCCAGGACCTTTACATACACTGTTTAATTCAGTAACCTAGGAGATAAGGTGATCTAAAGGAAAAAAAAGACAAAAGATGTGACAGTCACAACAGATTTTAATTATTGCTAGGGTATCCTTACTGTTCTTAAGGCCAGCAAGCCAAGAAGTAAGTTCACCTGAATTGTACATGCAGTTTCAGGTGGATCCAGGCCTTGAATGCAGACAGTTAACTGTCTCAAGGACCACACAGTTAGTTTTAAAAGTCTGTAGTATCGGGCTAGGGATTTAGCTCAGTGGCATAAGTGCCTGCTTGACAACTGCAAGTTGTGAGTTTAATCCCTGGGACAAAAAAAAAAGGCCCATAATATGTTGTATTTATTGTGCTTTCTTAGATGTACAACATACTGTGAACATTTGCCTGTGTACCTGGCCCTCTTCACAGTAGTTGGCAAAAATTTATTCTTGCCTGGATTTCAGAGTAGAATTAAGAAGCTGTCATGGTTGAAGGTTACTGCTAGGTTTAGTTAAAAATCACTGGTGTAAATAATTTCATAGGAAACTGAGTTTTACAGAGTTAATATTCCAGAAATTAGGTGACTTTTTTCTGTTACCAAATTAACTTGGATGATATAGATACCTCTCAGTTCCTTAAAGGACATTATTCTGAAATTTTCCTTGGAACTGTCTATCACTTAGAAATGAATCAGGCTTGGGGTCACAAGGAAGATGAGGGATATATGCACCGTAAGTGGTGTTAAGTAAAGAACAGTGAATGAAAGGTGACTGAAAAAATAAGTCTGCAAATCAAGGTCAAATATACCTTTCTTTAGTTTTTCCTCGAAGTTTTTAGTAGAATGGTTATACCACTAGAAACCTGGGCATCTTGGTGTTCCTGTTACCCCTTTCCTGGTGAGTGTGCTATGCTCTGATTAGTTTCCAAGGAACAGTATTGGGAGTTTCTGTGTATACACCCGCAACAGCCCCCAGCAGTACCTAGTATATCAGGCACTCAGTAAACACTTGTTTTAGCAAGCACAACTCAGTGACTTTTTTTTTTAGTGACTTTTTATACTTTAAAAGAATACCATTAATTTTCAAATGGCCTCTGTCTTATACATACCACTTTCTGTTTATCAGCATATGTTTGCAATACATCATCGTCACCCTCGTTTTGGGGGACTGGTATATAGATCTACCATGTCTTGATCATTTCTGACCCATTTGCCTTTCCTTCCCTTTTCCTACCCTGACCCCTTTTTCATCTTCAAAATGTTTACCTTTTTGCTTCATACATAACTCTTTTATCTCTTTATGTTTATGCTTTAGGTTTCTCATATAACAGAAATTAAATGCTGAAACTTTAATTTCTATGAATTATGCTTCATCTCATCATTGGAATGTGTTAGGAGGTTTGAGGGGGAAAGATCAAACGAGAGACAAGTTTTCTTCAGTAGTGAAAGGTAAGAAAGTCTACTAAATCAAGTAGACTTTTGAGTCCTGGAAAGGCCTCCTGAGAGACCTGTGTTCTGCTTTGTTCCCTCAAGGTCCCTTCTCCGTGGATAATGGGAAAGTACTGGGAGCTTGTGACACAGGACCAGTGTGGGGGCCCTGCCCTGGACTTGTCCCCATGCAGATGGGCACACTGTGAGCCAGGCTTGTTGGCCAGCACAGCCCTCTCAGCCCTTAGCTGTGACACCAGGAAATATTGTGAGCCTCTGGGTTGAGCCAACAGTGACAGGCTCTGCCTTCAGACATTTCCTGGTGTTAGGGATTTCCCTGGAGTTAGGGATGACCTTGTGTGGACCAAGGTGAGGCGAAGCCTCACCCCGCCCCATAAGGATGAACTCAGGGTTCATTTGAAGATGATGTGATGAGCTGTGCACAAGGGAGAGAACATCGTCCCACATGTGCACCCTGGCAGGGCAGTGACTGGGTATCAGTAGGGTGCTACAGGGCCCAGAGAAAAGAGGTAAGGGAATAGAACCAGTCCATTTTATGCGGAGAAGGGGAAGCACTGAGAGGGGATGGTTAGAAGCTTCTGGCAGCAGGGACACAGTCTGCATAGGCAGGGGGTCCCCAGAGACCCAGGACATCTCAGGTGATGCAATGCAAGTACCATACTATGGCTAGGGTTAAGAGAAACCGAGACCATGGGCTTGTTAGGAGCAGCTCCTGCGGCGCTAAAAGTGAAACTCATAGTGAAGGGGAGATGATTTAGTCACTAGGGCATGGTAGCACATCCATGAAAGACCCTCCAGTATTTTAAAAAAATTTTGCACAGGGTCTAAGTTGAAGAGGCTGGCCTTTAACTTGCAGTTTTCCTGCTTCAGTCAGCAAAGTAGCTGGAATTACAAGCAGATACATCCTTGTCTGGTAACATCACTGGAATTTGTAATGATATCTTCATTGCATGTATGTTGTTAAGTTTTATACTGACAATTTTTCCTTACAGGTTTTTTATTTTTATACATATGGATAGTCCCCAAATTATTTTTAAAGTTTATTTTTTTTTTTGAGCTGGCTTCTTTACTACATTTATTAATCTATCTGAAACTTCTGGTTTAAATAATAGGTCAAATTGAACAGTTATTTCAACAATGAACTTTCATCATATTTGACCATTTCACAAGTTGTGAGGATTATGTCTGAACAGTATTCCAAGTCTCTGAGATCAAATATCTCTTTTGAGAAGTGGCCCTCTATACTGATTTGCTAAAACTAACATAAATACCCTCCAGCAGCTGAATAAACACAAGTACCTTATGTTGAAATTTGGGGGACTACAAGTCCAAGGTCAAAGTATTGGAGGGGTTGGCTTCTCCTGAGTCCTTTCTCCTCGGCTTATAGATGGCCAGTTTCTCCCTGTCTTCATATTCTTCTGTGTCTGTGTCCTAATCTCTCCTCCTTAAATGGACACTAGTCACACTGGATTAGGGCCCATCTCTGTAACCTTAATTATCTCATGAAAGATTCTGCCTCCAAATGTCAAAATATCACATTATGAGGTACCAGGTATTAGGACATCAAAATTTGGATTTGGGGTAGAGATGGGAGAAACTCAGCCCATGACATCTTGCAACTGTAGAAAACAGGGCTGCAGTGGGGAAGTAAAGTCAGTAATAAACTCCTATCCATTTAAACCACTTTTATTCAAGTTATCTATTCCTCCTTCAAAGCATTTCTAGTGAACACAAATTTCAACATCCCACATAGAAATATATTAGAAAAGAGTATTGTTACTAGTACAGGTTTACAATACAAAGTGATCGTATTCACAATGGGGAGTTGGTATGTATATACATCTTAATTCTTTTTTACTCCTTTCCCTCCCTTCCCCAAGAATATACATTTTAAAAGGTGAGTATGACTGAAAATATCCCAAACTTGAGCTGTTTTACACCTTCATATGAAAACTAGTTCCCTGTCAGTGTGCCACACACTTGTCTGCAGAGACAGAAGAGCCAGCGAATGAACACTCAAAAGTAACTGCAGAAATAATCCAGAAACCTCTGTGGGTTGTGTCTGACCTGCCTCTCCCTCTGCTTTGAATATGGACTTGATAAGTGAATTTAAGCCTCCATACTTTCATATCTTCACACTTAAGTCTCCCCTCCCAAAAGACTGTCATCATGAAGAGGACCACTCTTTCCTTCTTACTTCACACTACCTGCAGGAGAAAAACAAGGCCATGTCTTTGCCCACTGGCATCCAATCTTCGATACAAATTTATTTGGCTCATATAATGCAAAAGATCTTATTTCCACTAAAACAGCATTTCAACATTATTAATGAAGCAGTAACTTTAAATGACTATAATGTGGGGAAGTATGCTGAAATGAGTCTGTGTTGGTATGCTGTCTGAATAAAAAAAAAACTAAGAGGGAAAAAGGGAAATAAATAGCTTTCATTTAGCTTTTCAATAATTAAATGTTACCTTCATTTGATAACATCTACTTACAATTCTTTTTTTTCCATTCTTAGATAA